ATAAGGGCCGAAGGAAAGGGAAGCACTCTAACTAGATCAAACCCTAGAGAGAAGGGAGTTTCTAGAGAGAGAGGCTCTCAAAATATATTTTTAGAAAGTAAGAGAGAGAGTGAATGCAAAAAGTGGTTCAAAATATCACAGTTGCTAATTGATATACGACTCTCCCGCTCGAGCGGTTAACATGATGCTCGAGCATCAAACACAAAAGTGGACCCGCTCGGGCGCAAGAAGGCCCGCTCGAGCGCCAAGACACAAGAATAAAATACATCCGCTCGAGCGTAGTTTCTCCTCTCCCAGTATTTTCACAGACAATGAACACTCCGCTCGAGCGTAAGGAAACCCGCTCGAGCGTGAAAAACACATCTGCAGAAGTTTTGCAGAGGCACAGATATTGGAAGTGTGAAAACTTCGCTCGAGCGGACAACCAAAAATCTGGGCAACAAGGAAAGGGACTAAGGCTCAACCAAACTGTTCGAAACACGCCCAACACATCCTAAAACTCAAACATATGGAATTAAAGGATGACAACAAGACATACAACCACCAACATCACGGGACGTAAGTCCGGAATACAGTAAATAAAGAGAGGGAAACCGGGATCACTATAATTTAACTTAGCCTAATTTATTAAGCTCCAACCACCTAATCCAACATTTAATTTGTGACCATAAAATTTTACGAATCAGACGGGTCTAGATCCTGTTTTGTCCTATCTATCTATCAAACAAAACATAGTTCAAATAGCACATAAGTCACAATTTATCTACACTTATAAACATTTAAGACGGAAAATCACACAAAAGCACATACTCCAGGTAAATAATAATTAATTACGAAGGCGGGTGTTACAAGTAAAATAGAGACTTTTCTTAAAAATTTTAGAAAGGTTCCATGTGTCACTTTTAGCCTCTTAGAATTTTGCTTAAAGAGATGGCTTTCTATTTAAAAAATTTTTCCTCTTCCTTTGGCATTTTTTTATGAAATGCCAAAGGAAGAGGAAAAATTTTTAAAATAGAAAGCCCTAAATTATATTTTTTTTTTTTTTTTTTTTTTTTTCCTCTAATGATTTTTCTTATTTCATCTATAAATGCATTATTTTTTATATATGTTTTGAAATAATTCCACCCTATATGTTTATGTTTATTAATTTTAATATGTAAAAGAAAATTATAATTTTAAAATAGTTTTACAAAAATATGATAAAGTAAATGCAAGGCTGTTATATAAAAAAAAAAAAGTGATAAATAAAACTTTATACACATAAATAAGAAAATTAGTAAAGGGAGGTGATATTACGGTTCGGTGTAAGTCCCCATCCACCTATAAAGTATGAGGAAAAAAAATAATTAGAATAGTGATATTGTCCATAACTGTTGTACTTAAATTTATAAGAGAGGTACTTAAATTTATATGAAGAGAAAAAAGAAGAAAAAAAACTTACTTGACCAAAAATAGTGATATTGTTCATAACTGTTGTACTTCAGCCTAAAAATGTTTGGTTATATAATTTTAGACACAAAGAAACAAAAAATTAGCAATAATAAAATTAGCAATTAGCAAAAAATTGGAAATGAAATGTTATTTAAATAAAATTCAAATAACATTTAAAATGAAATGTTATTTAAAATTTGAATAATAAAATTCAAAATTTTATTTAAATAAATAACTACCAGGAATAGAAAATACTTAACGGGTTACAATCAAGAGGAAAAGAAATAAATAAAAATATAAACTTCTAAGAAAAAGAAAAAGGTCAACAGATATCAGAGGCACGTGCCTTCTCTGTTTAGAATGGTACAATTTTTTTTTTTAATTTTTTATAACAAAATGTTAAATACATTTTTTTGGATTAAGTTAAATACTCGGTGAATTTGATTAAAAACAAAACGGATTATGTTAAATACTTGCGTTAAGTTAAATACTTGCAAGTTTAATAACATTTTTTTTCATGAAGACAACTAAAGTAATACGCACACATATAAAGATTGACCAGAATTTTTAAAATACAACATAGAATATTATATTCCCTTTAAAAATAAAAATAAATAAACTCTCTTGCCATATTACGGATAAATGTTAAAATGCCAAGTCTTTCATATTTTTCTTTTAATTAGGAACTGTAGATATTCACAAAATAATTAAATGAAAAATATTTATCATCTGTACATTAGAATCACACAGCAAATAAATATTACATTTGAATGTTAAATAAATTTTTCTGAGTGTTAATTTAATTTTTTTGTTGCAGGAAGATCAACTAAATAAATCACCCTTACTTTCTTTTTAAATAGCTCCAAACAAACAGTCCCTTCCCTCTCCCACTCTGTCTCTCTACATTCTTGCGAAACCCATAATCAAACTCACATTTTCTGAGTCAACCCAGCATTTAGAATAGATGTTTTTTAACAATCACATTAAAATTAAAATGAACATTAAAATTAAAATGATAAATTAAAACTCGAGCACAATAATTGTCCGAATTTGAACTTTTCTCTTTCTTAACTGACTTCAATTTTATAAAGATGAAATTAAAACCCATTATAATCATAAATATTTTGAAGTTCACCGTTTATGATTTGGAAAGTCCAAACATAAATTTATGCCAAAAAAAAAATTCACCACATAAGAAAGCTATTTTATAAGCAATAATGAATAATTATTTCATCAAGCAACTAAAGTAATACACACATATGCATTGACCTGAATTTTTGAAATGCAACATATAATATTATACTCCCTTAAAAATGTGAAAAAAAAAGGAACATAAATCTCTTGCCATATTACACATAAATGTTAAAATGCCAAGTCTTTCAAAAAAAAAAATTAAATGAAAAAAAAAAAATCACTTTCTTTTTAGAATCACACAACAAATATATTATATTTGAATGGTACAATTTTTATTTTTATTTTTTTATAATAAAATGTTGAATACATTTTTGTGGGTTAAGTTAAATACTTGGTGAATTTGATTCAAAGCAAAACAAATAATGTTAAATAGTTGGGTTAAGTTAAATACTTGTAAGTTTAATACATTTTTTTTCATAAAGACAACTAAAGTAATATACATATATATACATTCACCAGATTTTTTTGAAATACAACATAGAATACTATACTCCTTTAAAAAGGTGCCAAAAAAAGAAAAAAGAAAACATAAACTCTCTTGCCATATTACGCATAAATGTTAAAATGCCAAGTCTTTGAAATTTTTCTTTTAATTAGGAGCTCTAGATATTAAAAAAAATTATGAAAATATTTATCATCCTTTAAAAAGGTGCCAATATTTATCATCTTGCATACATGTGTGACCCACTAAATCATGGTTGATGGCATCTATTTTTGAAAAATAAAATTGAGCATGTAGAGTTCTTCAACTGAGCATTCCAGTGATTAGTGATGTGCTTGATGGTTTAGTAAGTTAAATAGAAATGAATAATACCTTTTTGTCAAACAATCCTATGGGCGCCTAAGCCTAGGTTTTTATTTTGGAAGGAATAAATAAATAAAAGGGAGAATAGAAGCCCATATTACATCAAAAGATATCATCACATAACTAAGTAAAGGAGTCAGGACAACGAAACCATGATGGTTATGATTGGTAAATTACTTAACTTACTCTCTCTCTCTCTCTCTGTTCATCAAATTTGAGTAAAAATTTGATTAAAAGTTCGATCTGATACGAATACTCCAATCGTTACTCTCATGGTCTTCTTCAAATCTTTTCAAAAAAATTCCAAACTTATCCTAAAAACCATCTCTCTTCTATACTATTTTTTATGAAAGAAAACCGTCTCCTATCCATACTCTATTTTAAAATTTTATCAGAAAAAATTAAAAGTATTATTATTGGAGATTTGGTAAAAAAATTTGTTCATCCTTGATTTAGTGAAAATTTTGGATCTATTACGTTTTTCTTGTGTATAATAGCCAAATAATTTTGAGACCAACTTTATGTGTAAGGACCAAATTTGTGCTTAATAGTTCAAATAATTTACAGTAATTCTTTGATGAAAAAATAATTTCTGCTTAATGTTTTTTTTGATTAAAAAAATTGGCAATAATTCTGATTAAAAATTGACAAAAATTTGGTGATGAGAGACATTTCCTCAATGTTTAATAGTTCTGAGAGAAATTTGGTTCACAATAATTCTGGTTAATGTTTAATCAAAATTGATAGAAATTTGGTTGACATGATATTTTTTAAATAATTGACAAACCAACTATTATACACAGTTGACAGTAAACACAATGTGTATAACCTTTTTTTTTTTTTTAATAGCATACCAATTTCTGTTTAATGTTTTTTTTTATTAAAAAAATTGACAATAATTCTGATTAAAAATTGACAGAAATTTGGTGATGAGAGACACATTTCCTCAATGTTTAATACTTATGAGAGACACATTTCCTCAATGTTTAAAAATATATTGTTATTTTTTTCTTAAATAACTTGTAACATTTTTGCTTGTATTACATGATCTACAAAACTCAAATAAATAACAACTCTCCCTAATGTTAATGCAAATTAAGAAATAAACATATAAGATTTTTAATGTTCACCAATACTGCAAATCAAAATATAAGAGCAAGTAAAAAAGAATTGTAAACCCTGACAGAATAATTTCTTAGTTGATGATTAAGTAAACCCTAAAAAAAATTATAAACACCTAATAATTTCTTTGTTGATGATTAAGTAAACAAACAAACCAAAATAACATCAATCATACCTTGCTTCACAATTCACCTGTTCTCAATTGGAAAATCTCCCATGTAGGAATCGAGTTGCTTTCTGTCAGGATGACGAACTGTGATGTGATCATATCACTGGATTCCACTAAGTCATCCATAAATAACAAAAACGAATGTAAAGGAATATATGATATACTCTTAACTTCTCACTTTTAGATACCATGCCACAATCTTTACCATGTGTAACAGCAGCTCTGGCAAAGGAAACAGAAAAAAAAATTGATAAGAAAGAGGAACTATCTTCTGTAACATAAAAACAAACTTCAAGGCGAATTATATTTTATAAGCATTCATTAAAACCATAGGCAACAAACAACTCGTTACTTTGCCTTGTTTTCCTATAACTCTTTGGACACATTCCAATGCATTTTCCTGTGAAGGAATTATGACACAACAATGAGAAGATGCTTGTCTATATAACTTGATGCTACTTCCAGCGATCTTCAATCAATTACATAAATTACCTTGTGATAGGATCTAAGGTGCCGCATAACCAGCATTGCTTAACTCCGGGAATCCAGAAGGTCAAACCTCCCAAACTTGAATCTAATCAATAATCTAAACAACTTGATTGAAAACATTTTAATACTGTAGTCCATTTCAAACTGAACAAACAAAAGCCAAAGAAATACTTGTTTCTTGACCCCAAGGGCTCACTATCCAAAAGCAGGCTGTCAAGTAGTTTGAGTAGAGAACCTTCCCAGAACATCCTAAAATCTTGAACAGAACAGGTCACATTATACAAAGTAGTGAAAGCACTCACCGTGATTGTCATCCCCTTCAGTAACAGCACAGGTAATCATCTCACTGAAATGAATTCATAGAATCATTAGTGCAGGCAACATTTAACTTTAAAAGACACTACTACTATCTTCTTTGATCAACATCAATCTTATAGAATAGAACAGCTAGTAAAAAGTACATAACGCCCTGAATGATTAAATTCTGGTCTATAAAAGCAGCATTTTTGAAATTAACTGGTTAATCAAACTACATCAGGTCTTTTCCAGCATGGATCCACCTACAACCAATATGTCTAACCAAATGATTCAAATCACTTCAAAACAAAAATTTTAATTTAAAAAAATAACTAGAAAATGCCATGTGATGATGACTACCCATCCTCGTATCACTCACTCCTATGAAAAGATGGTAAGGCTTGCAATCTAGCATAGAGTCCCAATTCAACTATAAAAATTAAATAATAATAAATAACTACATAAATAAGGAACTAGCTAGAAAGATCACTTTGATATATTGTGAGGACCAAAATACAATTTCATTGCGAACGACATAGCATTGTATGAATCTTCAATTTAGCATGATGGACATGATATAGATTAATTTAAATTTTAAAGAAAAAAATGCACTTGGAAATTCCCAACTTTTTAGTGTTAATGAGGCACTAGCACAGATATTCAAAAGTTTCTTAAGTGAATTATACTATTAAAGAATAGCATGAGTTGAAAAACATGTAGCATACGTTATCATGTCTTGGCAACGAGTGACAGTGCTGAGCATAGCCATACACTTCTGATCCAAAATCTTCAGGACTAGAAATCGAAAGACACAAGAAATCATGAAACAGGGTTATACTTAAAGATTCTTATGAGAATATCATATGTGATATTCAACAAAAGGAAAAAAGGGATAAGAGAAAAACTTCACATATTTTGCAAGAACAATCCAAAAGTCAGCCGTAGAGCAATAGAAACTACAGCCTCAAAGGAGACCAAAAGTAAACAGTCACTCTCAGCTTCAAGGCTGCCAAAATGAGCTGTGTGCTGCAAGAATTTGTCTTAAAAGCGTAAAGCTTTATAATTTGCACGCTCTATCTAAGATAATATCTGAGAAATTCAAAATAAATGGAGAAAATAACCGGTAAACTAATATGGTCTAAGGCTCTAACAGTTGAGACATCAAATACAGCTTTCCAAAAGCTTCCAGAAAGTATTTCATTTAGGCCACAAAGGTGAATCCCATACATAAACGAAAGACAAAACACACCCCAAATTATGTTCTGGTTATATACACTTTTACAACACTGGAAAAATGACAACTAACATTCATGAGTGTGATCTAAGTAAAGGCAGCCAACAAAATTTCCCAGCTTACATCCCTTATTGTGCAATTTGAAAAACAGAGAATTTCATCCTTCCCCAACGCCCAAAAAGAAAATAAAAGAAGGCTCCAAAGAACTCACTCCCATTCCAATCCAGAACTGAGTGGATCATTTCTGTTGTGCAACTGAGACCACATATGCTTTGCTTAGAACATTTTGGACAAAATCATTACTGCTCCAGGAGGCTAGATGTTGTTTGTTGCTTCTTTTTCACAGTGAACATTTTCCACTTCATCTTCTCAATGAAGGCCAATAAATCGGGGCATACCATAATTCCCATTTGCAGAAGATTTTCAGGTTCAAATGACTCCTTAAATGTCCACTAAGGTTTGAAAGTCATCTTTAAGCATCTTTTTCATACTTCCCGTGAAACTAAAGGGATGCATTTCCATATTTCACACCAAGCAAACAAAATTTGCTCTTTCCTTCTCAATAAAGTTTTTCATATTGAATGCCATGAACATTACAAACTGAAAACTGTCAATTTAACGCATTAAACAGATGAGGAAGCTGAGTATTTCCAGAACCTAAAACTTTTTCCATTCAATAAAGTCTTTCCTCCATACTTGTTTTCTCGCATCTCTGAGCAGTACACCATCTAGAACATTATTGACATAAATCCACCATGACTAAGACAGTATTACATACCAAGTGGTCGTGATCAGTGGTTTGATGAAGAACCCTCATTTCTGTGAACACAGGAGGTGATCGTCCCATATACAGATGCTGAACCAGAAAAATGGAACAAGGACAGCAATTAATCGTATTTAGGACGGTAGACTCGTACCACAGTCCATGGTTTGTACTTCTCCAAGAACCAAGGTATGCTAGGGAGGAGAATTTTCTGTGAAACAATGGGCTCCATACAAACAGGCCAAATCTTTTCAACCACATGGTGAATGATTAAGGAAATGGGACAATGATGACTTATGATTAAGGTAGGTGACTTGGTTTTCTCTTTGTGAGGGGTGTGAAAGAAGGTTGTTGCTACTAAGTTATGTTTGATTCTCAAGAAAAGGCAAGAAAAAAAGAAAAAAAAAAGAAGGTGAAATCATTTGATTTTTGCTTGTTCACTTTAGGGATATTGGCAACAAAGTGGCAATCCCTTGTTCAGAAAGCTTCATTTCTAAGGCAATATGATCTTTGTTTCATATACTAAACATCTTGAGAAAAGCTCAAAGCAAAGACCAATGTGTGATGATTGTTTCCAAAATCAAAATGACAGCAAAACACTAAAGCAAGAAACTTATATAGCATAAAGGTTAGCCACACATAAACCCATAAATTCTATGACGATGTTTCACTAAGCCAATAGTCAAAAGATCTTTTGGAGTCTTACCATATTCCTTCTAGGATGCTGAAGTGGTGATTTTGCAGACAAAGATGAGGAATCACAACCAGCCTTTGCTTTATTTGAAGAACTTTTAGTATTTTTAAAGGGGTCTTGTATTCTTGCACTCTTTTGAACAATATATATCTGCAGAAAAAATAAGTTACAGATCACAGAGAGACACATCAATTTCATTTATTACAAATAAACATTAAACAAATTATTACAGATTCAATGCCTTTAAAAATTAATACTGTTACAATAATAACCTGGTTAGCCAATCTAATTATTCTTTGAACAAATCCATTTTTTTCTGATGCGGGCAACAAATTTGATTCAACAAACGGTCTAGTATGACCAGCAAAAATTGACGTATACCTGTTTGACCAATCTGATTATGCTTTGAGTGGCTTGTACTGAGCACATTATTCTTATTGGATTTAGGAAGTGAATGAGCACCTGACCTTGAAGCAGGTATTTCATTTTTCCGACTCAACTCTGCACCGAAAGTGTAGTGTTTTTCTGCGATCGATCTATACAATTAAAATCAATTAAAGTTTCACTTCTTTCTCGAGAACCGAGATTAAAACTAGAAACTCTCAACCGAAACTCAAAAAAGAAAAAAAAAGAGTTGAAAAGTAGTAAAATTATGAACACGTGAGAAAGGAGAAGAAAGAAGAGCGATGAATTGAGAAAATGTAGAGAGGACATAATCGAATCAAAAGAATACAGACTCACGAATACCTGGATCAAAGCATTGCACTGTTTACGAATGCCTATGAACTACATAATGCCTATGAGAATTGCACTGTTTAGAGCTGAATAAACTTAGAAAATGAATAAATTTACTCGTCCATAACTGGTAAAAAAGGTTATCCCTAATCAAAGCATGGGAAGAAAGTGAGAAGTCAAAAGCAGAGAACAACTAAGATTTTTTTCAAATATATGATGTTATTTCAGAGGTAATGAGAAGTTTTCTCAGCAACCAAACAAAGGATCGAAAGCACAATCTAGAGTTCTGAGATTGTAGAGCTCTGAGATTGTAAAACAAAGGACCGAAAGCACTAACCTCTGATTGAAGAGATGAAGAGTTCCAAATCGAACTTCGAAATCACGGAGCTGAAGCAGATTTTGAAGGATTCGATTGGTTTTTCTGAGATTGTAGACGGCGGTGCTCAAAATCGAACTTCGAAATTGCAATCGCTCTGAGAAACTACGAGATTGAAGCCATACGGTTGCAGATAGGTTGGGTCTGAGAAACTTAGAAATCGCAATCGCTCTGAAGAAGAATCGAGAGAGAGCAAGAGAGTGAGAGATTTGAGTGAGTGATAACTTCGAACTTGACGGCGGTGGGTTTTCAAAATAAAGGTGTGGAGAGACAAAATAGGGTTGGTCATTTGGAGGCGCTTCCAAGCGTCTTCTATTCATAAAACGGGGCCGTTTTGATTAACAACAAAAGCGACGTTTTAAAAACGCCGTTAATTATTTAAAACAGTGACGTTTCATAAAACATCGTTAATTAAACGCCGTAAAATCTCTAATTTCCTGTAGTGCCTAAATCACTACACACTTGTCACCTCATCATCTTATCCAATTGAGGGGGGAAAAAATCACTAGAATTTTTATTTAAATTTCACTTTTATCATTTATCTTTTAATTTAAATTTTTAGACTTCAACTAATATTTTATTGTGATCTTCTCATCACTTTGCGATTTAAAACTTCAAATATAAAAGATGTAAAATAAAATTTAAATAGGATCTGAATGGTAAAAGGGATAATTTATTTATTTATTTATTTTTTCATTTTAACACTCTTTAATTGTGCACACATAACCCGCACATGATCATTTTCCATCAATTTTTTTATGACAGTGACAAGATGCCTACATTGACAAACCAATTAAGTATGAAAATCTAATTGTTACAATTAAAAATTTAAGATTCGAAATAAAATTTTAGTAAAAATTTAACACAAAAAAAATGTAATTTATTCAAAAAAATACAAATTACAGTCATAATTCCTATTAATTTTCTCATGTTAATTGAGTTTTTATATTTCTAATTGCATCAAAATATCTTAAAAATTTTCACATTGTGTTAATTAGATAAATTGACAACACCCCTATAGATGTTAAATACAAATTAGTGTTAGGCTTCTCACCCGTTCATAATCGGATTGGAAAGGTGATATTCGGTCCATGGGCCTAATTTTGAATTCTGTTTCGATAATTCGAATAGTTCATATTTTAAGAGTCGTCGAATACAACATTTTTACAAAAAAATTAAGTTGATTGGATAACGACAACCATGTGTTCGGATCAGTTTTCTCTGAAAAAAATGAATAGTGACAAAAAATAAATTTTAAAATATGAATGGTTCGAGTCGTTGAAACGAGATTTAAAATTAAGCTCATTGGACCGAATAACACCTCTTCAATCCGATTATGGACGGCAGAAAACTCCATCCCTAAAAATTAATAGGCAAATTAATACATTCATTTTTTTTTTTTCAAATGATTGAAGAATGACCTCTAATTTTAAATGATTAATAGTCTCCCAATTGAAACGACCCCTCACAAAATATTTATGAAAGTACTCAAAAAAAAAAAAAAAAATCTCCATTCCTTGACTCGAATTTATATCAAATTGAGTTTTACCCTAATCAAACTCAAATGTTTACTCAAATTTTCCAAAATCATTTTGTAAGCTTTCAAATTTACATCTCTGCCATTACTGAAACTTTACTCAAATTTGTGTTTGTCATGGAGTGCTTCATATCAAATAAATTTTTTACTCAATTAGTAAGAATTTGAGTAAGGGTTCGATATGGCGTAACGTATATCGAAATGGGTCGTCTTTTTTAAAAATAAAAAAAATAAAAATTTCTAATTAGTATAATCGGCAGCTTGATTCTTGAATTTCTTGATGCTATTCATTAGAAAGATTAATGTTTTACTCAATTAGTAAGACTTTGAGTGAGGGTTCGCGATGGCGTAACGAATATCGAAATGGGTCGCCTTTTTTTATATTATAAAATTCTAATTAGTATAATCAGCAGCTTGATTCTTGAATTCGTTGATACTATTCATTGGAAAGATTAATTTTTTACTCAATTAGTAAAAGTTTGAGTGAGGGTTGGGGATGGCGTAACGGTTATCGAAATCGGTCATTTTTTATTTTTATTTTTATTTTTAGATTCTAATTAGTATAATTGGCAGCTTAATTACCTAGGTCTTGAATTTTTTGATGCTATTTATTAGAAAGATTAATTTTTTTAAAGCAATTGGAATTTAAGTATGAATTTTTCACACCAATGTCTTCTGTTCTTGCCATGCAATGTGATTGATGTAAAGGGGGATTGCAATGTCATGGACTATTAGTCCGGAAGTAAATAGTCCGAGGACTGTTTAACTGGATGGATGGGATTAAATGTTTGGAAATGATTATTCCAATAATCTTAGATTTGGATGGGAAATTATGAAGAAGGATAATTGCTTCAAAGACCCTTTTGTCCTTTTAAATTTGCAATGACAATTCTAAATTTGAAATTTTAATTTAGATGCATTTAAAAAATAATATATTTGTGAAAAAAATATCAAAATAGTTCACTAAAAATAAATAATAATGTATTGAAGAAACAACCAAAAAAACCCTATAGTCTGACCTTTGTAATAAAATGAAGTTTGAGTTTTTAATTTTGTCAATTTAAATCCTAATCTTTTGATTCATTTTTAATCTAAACCATTCATTTATGTTCGTTAAGTAAAATTGATGGAAAAATGGTATTTTAGCCATTAAACTCCATGTAGATATACATAAAATGTCTAAATGCCCTTTTTCGTTGAGTTTAATGACTAAAATATAAAATTTTTTTTTATTAATTTTACTTAATAAAAATAGGCAGATGATTTAAATTGAAACCAAATTAAAAGATTAGAGTACGAATTGTCAACATTAAAAATTCAGGGTTTATTTTGTTATAAGGATCAAACTCTGAGTTTTTTTTTTCCCCTAATTTATTTCTATTTAAAAAAAAAATAGTGATTTTTGTTTTTTGAATTTCTTCACAAATGTAAGTGCATTCAAGATATAAAAAATTTGATTAAAATATGAAAAGGTTCGCTAAAGACAAAATAATACAAAAAATCAAAAACTAAAAAACAAATTTCAAAAAATAAACAAAACAAAAAATAATTCTTATTTATTTATTTATTTTTTATATGCACTTATATTTGTGAAAGAAATTTGAAAGAAGTTGACTAAAGATTAAAAAAAAATGAAAAATAGTATAATTTGTTTTATATATCTTTGTGTGAAACAAATTGGAGGAAAGATATGTTGTATACTTGGTGTCATTTTTTGTGATTTAAGAACCTCATATGGAGTGCATATATATGGATGAGGACTGGAGATGTATCTCTTATTTGTATTGTTTAGGTATTCGCTGACAATAAGACAAAGGGGCCATTTGGTTGACAGAATAGCTTTATTTCATAAATTGTTCTATTTCAAATTAACAGATTTGAAATCTCTGACTTTGTAAATGTGTTAACTCAATTTGTATAGGTGTTGAACATAGCAAATTTTAAATCTTCCGTTTTGAGATTAGGTAATTTTATGTTTAAGAAGAATTGACCAAGTTCAAATTTTAATCAAGTAAATTGTTTGGATTTTTGGGTTTTTTTAATTCTTAATTTTTAAATCCAAACAATGGTAATTGTCTAATTTGTAAATGAGCTAATTCTGAAACTGTCCAAATAATTCACATAGTTGGGTGGGACAACTAAAGGCCCTAATTGCTTTGCCTTTGCATCTTTTCTCTTGGCGTTATGGTCATGTTTGATTCACAAGACTAATAGTGAAATATTAATAATCCTATTAAATTAGTGTGGTATTCATTATTCAATTGGA